AAAGGTATTCCCTTTTAAAGTGTGTTTGCTGCCAAGACTGTTTTCAATCAAACGGGGAAACTAATGTCATGCGCGCAGACACCACACAGACAACAAAGACAAAGATACCCCGTATAGCCTTTACATACTGTTAGGGCAAGTGCTGTTAGCTAGCCGGCACGGCACACGAGGGGGTGAGTGAACAGCACCACGAACGGCCGCCTTTGTCTCCCGAATGGCGATCTTTATACACCGCACCAGGTATTCATTTGGGGCTGAGTCGACCTAGGGGAGGCCCAGGTCCGATTCAGGTAATCGTCACTGGTATTGTCCATGAGCGGAAATCGAGCTCGGGTCGCCGGGTTCGTAGCTGGGTTCGTAGCTAACCGCTGCACTACCCCACAGACAAACACAGACACGCATGCAAACAGGAACATACAGACACACGGGGGTGTGCACACGTGGGCACACACACGCACACTGGACCCTTTGATTCTCCCGGCATCGTGAGTCGCTTTCTAAATATTTCGGTTTGTCTAGTGAACTGTGCGATGCCCCTGTCTTTTAAGGCTCTAACAACAATAATTAGCCTGCGTTTAAACAAAATAATCTGAGCTGCTGGAGAGGGAAGCAAATATGCCATCGACTCTCTTTTTTTTCCGCGAATAAAAAAAAAGACAGCATCTTGAATTTACCACGCACCCAATTTTTTTCTTGCAGTTTTGGCAAGTTTCGTCGACATCAACAGATCGATGTCTTTGGGAACTTAGTGCGAATGGTGCGCGCGTTTTATTGAAACAATGCAGACAGAATGTATTTAACCTGAGCTCCGACGCTTGCGTCTCTGGTATCCGAATTCGACCCAGTGAGGAGGGGGGAGGAACGGGGCGGGGGGGGGGGGCATCTCCCTGGCAGCGCTTCTCTCCCCGCAATGTTGTGGAGAAGGAGAGGGAGTGAGCGAGAGAGCGAACGAGCGAGAGATATGAGCTACCGTCGGAGGCCATATGACCGCAAGGAGTGCTGGGTGCAGATGCAGCACTTGTCGTAGTTAAAAAAGAAATTGTTACATAGAAAATAGGGGGAACATAGAGAGAGACAATAGGGAGAGGGGGGGGAGATGAAGAGAGGGGGTACAGAGAGAGGGGGGCAGAGAGGGGGGTAGAGAGAGAAGAAAGGGGTAAGGAGAGCAGAGCTAAAAATATTTTGTTAAATGTTTCATTTAAAAAAAATGGGGGGGGGGGGGGGTTACGTAAAGCAAAGCATTAAAAAAATAACAAACAAAAAAACTAAATGATGAACGAAGCAAAGTTCCGAATACACCGAGCATCTTCTTGTTTCCTCTGATCGTAAAAAAAGAGAGAGACGGGGTAGAGAGAGGGGGTATAGAGAGAGGGGGTAGAGAGAGGGGGTATAGAGAGAGGGGGTAGAGAGAGGGGGTAGAGAGAGGGGGTAGAGAGAGGGGTATAGAGAGAGGGGGTAGAGAGAGGGGGTAGAGAGAGGGGTATAGAGAGAGGGGGTAGAGAGAGGGGGTAGAGAGATAGGGGGTAGAGAGAGAGGGGGTAGAGAGATAGGGAAGGTGTAAGGAGGAGGAGCAGAGCGTGCTTCTTCGTGTTAATGTTTGTGTCTCCGAAGAAAGTAGCACAGAATGCGTAGAATATTTCATTTAAAAAGGAGGGGGGGAGTACATAAAGCAAGGAAAGGAAAAAACGAAATGATTAACGAAGCAAAGTGCCGACTAAACCGAGCATCTTCTTGTTTCCTCTGATCGTAAAAAGAGAGAGAGTGAGCGATTGAGAGCAAGCGAGGAGCAGTGGGCGATGGAGGAGGCCGTGTGCTCGGTGGCAGATGACGGAGAGCTCTGCATGCAGTTATGAGCTACCCGTCGGAGGCCGTTGGACTGCGAGAAAGGCTGCGTGCAGAACGAGAGAGTGAGCGAGAGAGTGAGCGAGAGCGAGGGGGGCGGGTTACATAAAGCAAAGATAAAAAAATTAACCCGTAAAAACAAAGTTTTTCACTATAAATCCTTTATATGCGTGGCATCGGTTTTATTTTATTATTCATTTCTGTTTTTCTTGAGTACGAGTTTCATTTTTATCACATTGGTATTTAAAATGAAATATGATATTTTTTTTTCCTAAAAAGTGGAAAATTTTTGAATTTTTTTTTCCACGAAAATAAATTGTCACGCACAACGAGTCTGTGTGCAAAATGACAGCTCGATTGGATCACGGGAAGTGGGTTAAAAAACGACCGAAAGATTTGCACGGTCGTAAGCGCGCAAGCAAGCAAGCAAGTGAACTTAATATAAAGGATTTAAAAAAATACGAAATGATGAACGAAGCAAAGTGCCGAAAGACCGAGCATCTTTCTCGTCTGATCGTAAAAAAAAAGAGCGAGCGAGTGAGCGATTGAGAGCAAGCGAGGGCGAGCGAGGGAGCGAGCGCGCGATGTCCCCTTTCGCTCCTGGGCGAGATGCGTGCGAGCTCGCGAGGGGAATGCGTGCGGGGCGCACACAAAAGAGCGGCGGCATTCAGGGATGCCGTGTCAGCGTTCTTCCGCAGACGTATCAATGCGATGGAACAAAAGTGATGTTTAGAAAGACAAATGGCTCGCGGTGAATGGACCTTCCATGCGAAACGCACCAATAAAAGCGGCGTCCTTTTAAAGCGCCGGCTACGGGCTTGGCTCGGGTTTATCTGGGACCGCGTCCCAGACAATTGTTTTGAATTGAAGAGGACTTTTAATTGCCTCGTAAATTCCCCAACAATCACGCCACGCAGACCCCGCGGGATCAGAGCCACTCGGTTAAAGAAGTCCCCCCCCCCCACCTGCATTAACATCGTTTACACGGCGACATAAGCCGGTAACGCCATCAAAAGGAACGATGTCAGTGCAAATAAACGCCATCAATGCGGCTATAGTTAATACAGTTCCCCGGCTAAGGGCACCAGACAAACAAACGTTCTCACTTCATGTTGGACGTTACATTGAGCGGAGCATCCGACGGACGCTTCGGGCGGCGCGTTTACTGAGACGCGCCGCGTTGTACCCCCCCCGGCAGATGCGTGCAGCAGCAGAAGCAGCAGCAGGAGCAGCAGGGCGGCCTTGCCACCGCTGTTCAATGATCTGCAGACACGGCGCATCATCATTCGGCCATTGCCCCTGCGTTTGTGTCGGCGCGTTTCCCAGGCTGCTCTCGGGATACGCGCCGTCGCGAGCCATTGTTTAGGATGACTGCGCGTGTCAGATAATCACCCTCGCGCTTCGGGGGGGCGGGGGGGGGCAGTGTCGACTTGGGGGGCACATGCATCGCGTTCTCGATGTCTGGTCCGTGTTCCAGGCTGCGTTGATGCTCTGCGGGCGCAGTGGCTCGCAAATCGGTACCACATCCAGTTGGTGAGACTTCAGCGTCGGCGTCTCCTGCGGTGTTGTGCCCCACCGGTGATGGAATTCGTTGCAGTTGTCGCGGTTGTGATTATGATGATCATGATAATTATTATAATATCACAGCGGCACTTCTCAATCGTTCTTCCCCAATGTTCAAAAAAATCATCGCAGCGACAATGGAGATGCCAAGAGAGACGCCGTGGGTGTGTTTCCGCAGCGCGATTAGGGGAGTGACGGCTGCTCATCCGTGACTGCCAAGATCAGTGCGCTTAATCCCACCAACTGAAATAAATAGAAAAGCACTTTGCCTTTTATCACTGTGCCTCGTAGCTTCATGAAAAAAAAGTCACAATTCTAAAAGCAAATAACAACCATTAAGACCCCGATTCCAATTACAATCCCTCGAGAGACCGAATGCTTGGAAGCACAGTGGCCAAAAAAGGCAAGGCTTTTATGAGTCTCACCGGACGAATAACATTTAACGGATGAGAGGATCTGCACAATTACAAGCTGGTGAACTGTGACCGGTAAATTATAGCGTGGTACCCAGGTGATTATAAGAGGGCAGACAGCCAAAATATTGCACGCTCTTTAATCAAAGGTCTCTCCAGTAGCGTTTGTGATTAAATGTTTAGATATCAGCGCTGCTCGTAGAATCGACTTCGGGTTTTAGGCTTCAGACAAAAAGGTTTCCGAAAAATGCGTCCGTAAAAAGCTTTAATTTATTCTGCACGCGACAGTCGAGGCGTGACATGCGGATTAACTACAACCACATCTCGCTGTCTGTTTTGTAAACCTCACTCCGTGACTTTCCGTGTGGGTTTATGTATACATAGTGGCGTGCATTCATGTTATCCCTGCTCAGTGTAAGTAGATCTGTGCATTAAATATAAGTACCAGCAAAGGCAGGGCATTATGGACGGCAGATAGTTATAATTTTATAACGACAAGGGGTACGTGTCGCAGTGTTTGCAAGTCGTTCACGTGCACACTGCGTTACGATGCCAGCGATCTGAGTTCGATTCCAGGCGACGGCTATGACATCAGTGGACGAGTGATATCTCAACCGGTTCTGGGTGCCGTGGCCCCACTTTTTCACCAACCCGGAATGAACAACATCTGGCGGTGGCGAGATGTTGACCACCTCTCCTGGTATACAGGAGGTCGTGGGTTCGATCCAGACCCTGACGCCTGCTGCTGTATATTTGGAGTTTGCGCGTCTCTCTCCTTCTTCCGGTGGCCGCGTGGATTTTTCTCTGGGTCCTTCGGTTGTCCCATATACATTTAGAATCAACACGCGTTTAGTGTATTTGGTTGCTATACACTTCCACTTGAAAAGCCACTTCGTTGAGCCATCATTTGTGGCCAGGTCGCTTCTGACAAAGGGCTATATAGCTCAGTGGACCTTACCTGGTAAAACAAATAACAAATTCAGTTTATAATTTTAGTTTAGTGTGGTTAAATAACACACTACGGGGAGGTACATTCGTTTAGCAGTGGATTCGGACGAATGACAAACCCTCGGCTGCACCTCCACAACAACACCGCACCTCGGCGCAATCACCCACGAACGGCTCGCCTGTGCCTCTGCCCCCAACCGACGCTCTTCCCCAATCCCTCCCCTCTCCCCCCAGAGCTGGAGCCCCTCGATTTGCTGGCCGAGTCGCTGGCGACGCCGGTGGCAGGAGACCTCCCCCGCGGCGTCACCGTCGTGCAGGAGGGTGGCGTGCGCGGCGCGAGGCTCTCGCCGCGGCGCGCGCCCCACGAGCCGTGGCCGGGTGGCGGCACCCGGCAGCACGGGCTCTCGTTCCCGGCGGCGCGCATCTTCACCCACTGCCACCGCTTCCCCGAGGAGTTCTCCGTCGTCGTCACGCTCGCGGCGGACACTCGCAAGGTCAAGCACGGTCAGGGGGCTCTCTGGATTCACGCCCGCCCCACGGGGGGGGGGGGGGGGGGAGGGCTTTTAAGGGGTCGCAGCCCAGTGTCTCTGATTTTGAGCTCCTCCACACGCACACCCCCCATTGCCCTCCAAAGATACACAAATGTATGGGTATATAATAATATAACAATGTCAACTTGTAACGCCACCGCATAGAACAACTTAGAGGCGTGAGGAGCCACGGGCAAGCAGGAAGGCAGGCAGCCACGCGGTGGTCCGGCACCAATGATTGCCAAAGCTCTGCGCTCCTCTACATGTGAAGGTGTTATCGGGGACATTTTAATCAGTGGTTCTCTCTGGAGCTCCCAGAGAGAAGAAAAAAACAACTTTGCGTGCGAGGGGGAAACATTCCAATATGCGGAGTCCACGAAATTGCCGTACTGCCCCCCTGGCAAGCCAAGGGCATGGCACCTCCTAGTGTCGCAACATTTGTGCGATCCACCCCCCCCCCCCCCCGCAGTGCTGGAGTACAGGCGTGCCACCACAGCCCGGCTATTTTAATGGGCGCTGCTGTGTCGTGGGTGAAACGCGATCGTGCCGCGCTGTTTCAACTCGTGAGTTTACGCGCAGCGTCGCGGGTTGCGCTACGCTGGGGCGTTTGCCTCTCTCTCGAGCTTTCGCCACGCACCACTGTGGTGCGATTATCACCGTTGGCTACGTACGGTGCGAAAGAAGTTCAACATTCATACGATGGCAGATGCCCCCCGCCCAGCGTGCCGTTTGGCTATGAATGGCATAGGAAGCATCACCGTGCGTTTAGGGGCTGTCCTTTATATGACGTCACGCACCTAGTCAGACATTTGTGATAATGGAGGGGGGGGGGGGTGAGAAATGTTACGTACCTTTAAATAAATATAGACAACACATTCAACTTAATTAAATATACTTTTTAAATTAATGTTTTCTCCTACAACATCAGAGTGCAGCGCCACATTAAATACGCACTACAATGACAATAGTTTAAAACAATTTGAGGCATGATTTATTTTTTTGGGGGGGGCAGAGCTTTGTGACGTCATATTGGAGGGGGGGGTTGACTTTTTGTGACGCCGTGTGACGAAGGGGGGGAGGTCAAAATCGTCCAAAATCGCGTGACGCCATTTATGAACGGCTCCTTAACAAATAGCAACTCCTACCGGTTACGTGGCAACATTAAACGTTAAGTGTTGTTTCTATTAACTTCGATAAAAAAAATATAACAAGCTAAGTAACTGCACGTGGTTAGGCTTTGGACACGAGGTGGTGGTGGTCAAAGAGCCAAGGGAGGGAATTTAATGTACGGCCATACCCCGGTTTACGTCGGGGATGCGTTCCTGTGAAGGTGCGACGACGAATATCGAAACGAGGTGAGACCCAAGCGGCGTTTACAGGCTTGGTCGTGGTGGGTGGTGGAGGCGACGGCTGAGAGGCGACGGATGACGAGGAAGGGACGGACGGCGATGACGCTGACAGCGACGTGAGCGTGGCGGTTGAATCAGGTGGCGGTGTTAATGATGAAGTGACGACGCATTAGCGAAATCGGGATGTTACTGTAGAAACAGCCCCCCCCCCCCCACTACCACAACAAAAACACAACAGCCCAGGGCCCCCCTCAAACGCAACCCCCCTCCCCCCTTGCACACGGTGCCCCGTGGGAGTCGGATCTCGCTCGAGTTTCCTCCTCCCTCCGTTCTTCCAAAGATTCCTCTTCCTCCTCCTCCTTTAACAATCTCTCCATAATGGTTTTTTTTTTATCTGGGTTAGATCGCGATAAGATTTACGCGATCTAACCCAACGCATTCCCCCCTTTTAAATCCATTTGAATGAACGAATGGACATTTTCAAGATGGCTGCCCAAAGACAAAGATCCCCCGTATAGCCTTAAACAGACTGTAGGGGCAAGTGCTGTCAGCGAGTAGCACCTATGAAGGCCGGCACGGCACACGAGGGGGTGGGTGGCCAACACCACGCACGGCCGCCTTTGTCTCCCCAGCAGCGACGTTTACACATCGCACCGGGTACTCATTTGAGGCTGAGTCGACCTAGGGGAGGCCCAGGACCGCGGTTCAGATAATCGTCACAGGGTTGTTGGCCGTGAGCGGGAATCGAACTCGGGTCGCCGGGTTCGTAGCGTAGCGCAGCGCTGACCGCTGCATCGTCGAGAATGCTGCCCGGATCAACTTTCTTGAGCCACTGCCCCGGATCGACTGCTAAGAATCCATGCATTTTTTTCTGCCCGAGGTTGGCGATCCACGAATGACCATATATGGGCAAAGACACCGCCCGCTTTCGGGCAACGCCACGCCCACTTTATGCCATAAATGGGGGGGGGGGGGGGGTACGTCTCTGATGGGTGATGTGGTCGTGTGTAGGGATTCTACATTTGAAGCTTTCGTGACTGCAAGGATTCATATTCTTAGGTTTTTTCGATAAAGTCACGTAGGTAAAAAATAATAATAAAAGTAAAATAAAAATAAAATAAAAATCACGACGTTTCGGAGGCAACACAAGCTTCCGTCTTCAGGTGGAACATTCACAGCACGATAGCTGTATCACTTGATACAGCTATCGTGCTGATACAGCAGTCGTGTTGTGAATGTTCCACCTGAAGACGGAAGCTTGCGTTGCCTCCGAAACGTCGTGATTTTTATTTTGTTTTTATTTTACTTTTATTAATTTAAAATTTGTACCTACGTGACTTTACCGAAAACACCTAAGAATACGTGTGTAGGGACTCGTCGCGCAATCAGCGGCGCGTCTCATGTCGCGCACAGTGACCCGGTGTGCTTCCCTGCCCCTGGTGGGCCTTTTAGTGCGGCCCTCGCCACGACACAACGAGTGAACACCCCCCCCCCCCCATCATCATCGTGCTGCTGTCACCCCCCCCCCCCAATGGTTTAACACGTGTGGCGGCAAATTAGTGAACAACACCGCGCGTTGACAATAACAACATTAACAATGAACAACATTAGTGACGATGACTGGAAGTTAACAATCACAAAATTAAGAATTAACAAAATTAGTGAACAGCACTTGGAGTGAACAATCACACCGACTCGCTGTCGTGCTCTGCACGCAGACAGGGGTCGCTGCTTCTAAACGCAGCGTCAACACAACAGCGAGCAGCAGCTGCAGCCGTAGAAGCAGCCGTAGAAACAGCAGCAGGAGCCGTAGAAGCAGCAGCAGCAGCCGTAGAAGCAGCAGCAGCAGCAGCAGCCGTAGAAGCAGCAGCCGTAGAAGCAGTAGCAGCAGCAGCCGTAGAAGCAGCAGCCGTAGAAGCAGCAGCAGCAGCCGTAGAAGCAGCAGCAGCAGCAGCCGCAGCAGCCGTAGAAGCAGCAGCAGCAGCCGTAGAAGCAGCAGCAGCAGCAGCCGTAGAAGCAGGAGCAGCAGCCGTAGAAGCAGGAGCAGCAGCCGTAGAAGCAGGAGCAGCAGCCGTAGAAGCAGCCGCAGCAGCCGTAGAAGCAGGAGCAGCAGCCGTAGAAGCAGCAGCAGCAGCCGTAGAAGAAGCAGCAGCAGCCGTAGAAGCAGCAGCAGCCGCAGCAGCCGTAGAAGCAGCAGCAGCAGCCGTAGAAGCAGCAGCAGCAGCAGCCGTAGAAGCAGCAGCAGCAGCAGCCGTAGAAGCAGCAGCAGCAGCCGTAGAAGCAGCAGCAACAGCAGCCGTAGAAGCAACAGCAGCAGCAGCCGTAGAAGCAGCAGCAGCCGTAGAAGCAGCAGCAGCAGCAGCCGTAGAAGCAGCAGCAGCAGCCGTAGAAGCAGCAGCAGCCGTAGAAGCAGCAGCAGAAGCAGCAGCCGTAGAAGCAAGCAAGCAGCAGCAGCCGTAGAAAGCAGCAGCCAGCCGTAGAAGCAGCAGCAGCCGTAGAAGCAGCAGCAGCCGTAGAAGCAGCAGCAGCCGTAGAAGCAGCAGCAGAAGCAGCAGCGTAGAAGCAGCAGCAGCAGCAGCAGCCGTAGAAGCAGCAGCAGCAGCAGCCGTAGAAGCAGCAGCAGCAGCAGCCGTAGAAGCAGCAGCAGCAGCCGTAGAAGCAGCGCAGCAGCCGTAGAAGCAGCAGCAGCAGCAGCCGTAGAAGCAGCAGCAGCGCAGCCGTAGAAGCAGCAGCAGCAGCCGTAGAAGCAGCAGCAGCCGTAGAAGCAGCAGCAGCCGTAGAAGCAGCAGCAGCCGTAGAAGCAGCAGCAGCCGCAGCCGTAGAAGCAGCAGCACAGCAGCCGTAGAAGCAGCAGCAGCAGCCGTAGAAGCAGCGCAGCAGCCGTAGAAGCAGCAGCAGCAGCAGCCGTAGAAGCAGCAGCAGCAGCCGTAGAAGCAGCAGCAGCAGCCGTAGAAGCAGCAGCAGCCGTAGAAGCAGCAGCAGCAGCCGTAGAAGCAGCAGCAGGAGCCGTAGAAGCAGCAGCAGCAACGCGCCGCTTTCTCGACGGTGACAGCTGCACCTCTGCATCATCCAACTCGAGCACCGCCTCCGATGGGTCGCGTGCGATGTGCCCCCCCCCCTCACTCACCTCACACAGCCCCTCAGCTGTGTCAGTCCCACTGCAGGACCAGGGCTTTCAACCACGTGCGTTGAACTTCTTTCGCACCGCACGTGGCCGACCGGTGCTAATCGGAGGTGCGGGAGAAGGGCATTAGACCCATAGGAAACGGGGAGAGGGGGGGGTGAAGCCTCGACAATAAGTTGTCTACATTGGCCTTCAAATGAGCCACAGTTCAGTTTCTTCAGCTGTCAGACAACAAGTCCTGCCGGGAGAAGTGGGACTGTGGGAGAGGTGTCACTCGTGTGTCACCGTGCCCCTCTGACTGCAGCTGTCACGCAGCTCAGCAAAATAAGTGGCCAAGGTACGCGACTTAATTATTTAACGCAGCCGGCGATGGACTCTTTGTTTGCATAAACACGTTAATATTATTCATCCTTGATCGTCTCTGCGTGGATTAAATATCGGCCGTTCTATAGGATTGAGGGGGGGGGGGGGTCAAGCGTACGTACGCAGGTGGGGGAGGGGGTGTAAAAAGTCCGCGTGCGTACATGGAGGGGGTAAGGGGGCAAGTTTGACAGATTTTTGCGTTCCCACTCAATGGATGGCCCCCGACTCCGACACGTGCCGCCTATCGTTGTCTGTGAGCTTCCGCACTCAGTGGCAACAACGGGGACCAACACGAGTCCCAGCGATCCCAATTGAGTGTACGTGGACATCTCTCTCTCTCTCACGCTAACAAATGTGTCGTTAAACCCGCCACCACCCGACAAAGCCAATTAGTAAAGTTTGCCACGGAAACAAAACGTGTCCTAATTAGTCACTACTTCAGCACAACGGTGGTGTTGGAGAGTAAACCTCCTTTGCTCGCTCTCGCAATCCCGTGCGAATGTTCATGGCTTCTTAAGGACACGCATTAGGAGTGGATGATAAATGGGGACGTGTAAATGTTTTTTTGAACACCAATAAACATCTCCGCAAACTCGATTGCCCATTCATTAGTGGCATACTCACAGGCTTTACGAGAACACGCTCAAGTCCGCATGGCATTGTATCACATTTCCACTGTACATACTTACTTTCATTGCCTCGTAAGTGGAATTGTAAAAACCACTCCACCCCCCTGTGTTCCATCAAGCACGGCCATGCGATAGTGGCTAAGAGTTGGTCTCATTTAACTAGCGAGACGGAGGAAGACACACACCCATATCTGCAAATCCGCCCTCTTCAGACTTGTTTTCCTAAAAAATATATGCCGGGGATTATATTGTCCGTTTATTGCTGGGCCAGAAAATAAATGCAAAGAAAGATAGCTCTCTCAAATAGCCCTCACGCACTCCATTATGCGTGTGTGTTTGTTTAAAGTGCACTCTCCTATATTTAATAATCTCGGCGCTGCAGGGGTCTTTGGCTGAGTTGGGAGACTCGCCGGCGCGGATCCGCACACAGGCGCCCTTCGTGTTTGCACTGCCCCACGGACTCCTTCCACGTCGAGTCCTGGTGATTACTCCCGCAAACAAAGACAAAGATGCCCCGTGTAGCCTGTAACAGACTGTTGGGGGCATGTCCTGTTAGCGAGTAGCACCTGTGAAGGCCGGAACCACGCCCGACAGCCTTTGTCTCCCCAGTGGAGATGTTTTTTTACACACCGCACCAGGTACTCATTTGAGGCTGAGTCGACTTAAGGGAGGCCCAGGACCGGTTCAGATAAACGTCACTGGTGTTGGCCGTGAGCGGGGATCGAACTCGATTCGTAGCGCAGCACGCTAACCACTTCAGCTCAAACGGAGCAAAGACAAAGATCCCCCCTATAGCCTTAACGTACTGTTTGGGCAAGTGCTGTTAGCGAGCAGACACACACGGGTGATGGGGAGATTACAGCCGCTGTATTTTAGTGCTGTCGCGTGCAATCACAGGGCGTCTGCGTCTCCTCCACATGAAGAGTTCTGTTATTGTAGATAAACACTAATCATGGAAGAAAAAAAGATGAAACGCAGCCGAGGATAGTGCGCGTGTAGACAGAATTCTTAACCCACAGTTACAAAACTGCGAGTTCAGATTGCGGTCAGCGGGTTCACTCAGCCCATCGTGTCACCAGGCGCCACGGTGGCGGGATGTCAACTACCCTGCCTGGTATGCAGGAGGTCGTGGGTTCGATCCCGATCCCGACCCTGACGCCTGCTGTATATTTGGAGTTTGAGTCTCTCTCTCCCCGTGATTGCGTTGATTTTTTTTTCCGGGTCCTCCGGTTTTTCCCTCCACATTTACAAACCTGGTTTAGAATATTTTGCCCGCTTTGCATTTCCGCACGATGAGCCACTTCGTTGAGCTATCATTTGTGACCAGGTCGCCTCTGAAAAAGAGCTACACAGCTGAGTGGGTCTTACCTGGTGAAGTAAAAAATAGTTTTATATATTCTTTGGGTCTTTCGGTGAAGTCACGTTGCGATCGAAACGTCGTAGTTTTTAGTTATTTTCTTTGAACCTATCTACGTGACTTTACCGAAAGACCCAAAGAATATGAATTCCTGCAGTCACGAAAGCTTTGAGTCAAACATAGTTTTAGTTTATATAAACGAGTTCTACTTCGTGCGAAGCCACCAGTGTCTCCAGCAACAGAAACGTGCCATTCCCACCGCCAAGTCCCACTCGCGTAGAGGCGAGCAACAGCACATTGCTCAATCGAGCCGGGAGACGCAGCAACAGCAACAACAGCAGCAGCAGCAAGACTCGAATCGGTTCTGAACGAGGACCCACTTTACGCACGGCTTGAGTCAGTGGTGCCGGCGAGGTTGGCAAGCCCCCCACGTCCGCCCCCCCCCCCCCCATCAGGTGCAAAATAAATTAAAACGAGGCCGCTTGTCCAATGTCACCCCACTCCTTAGCCCGGCACCCGGGCACCCCCCTAGCACCCTCGGCTGCGCACCGCGAAGCTGCGCCACTCGCTTGAAACTTAACCCTCGATCGTTTGTTTGTTTCCATGTTTGGGCCTGGCCCTCATGGCGTCTCGCGCGTGCGCACCGGCGGGTCCCAGACGTCGCAGGCGCGGCAGACGCTGCTGGCCGTGGTGCACGAGGGGACGGGGGCGGTGCGCCTGGCGCTGCACGTGTCGCCCACCAAGCTGCTGTTCGAGTTCTCGCCGGGGGGCGCCGGCGGTACAGGGCGCCACCTCGTCTCGTTCGCCGGCGTGCGCGTCCTCGACGCCGCGTGGCACACGCTCGTGATGAGCGTCGCCGGCGACGGAGCCACCCTGGCCGTGGACTGCGGGGTCCCCGTGCTCGCGTCAGTAGCGTGCGATGCGCGCCCACCCCCTCCCTCCCCTCCCCTCCCCTTGCCCCCACCCCCCGTCATTTTCATTCTCGTCAACAAGATCATCATCGACTTCAAAGTTTTGTGACTGCAGGAATTCATGTTTTTTTGTGCTTTCGGTAAAGTCACGTAGATAGAAAATAATAAAAATAATAGAAACCAAAAACTCTCTCCGCCTGATGACGCCCGCTTGTGTTGCGATCGAAACGTCGTGAGTTTTAGTTTTTTATTACATTTTTATTATTATTTTTAGTTAATTATTTTCTATCTCCGTGACTTTACCGAAAGAACCAAAGAATTCGATCATCATCGTCGTCGTCATTGTCATGGTCACATCATCCACACCCATGTCAGCAGTGGACAGTGCACGCATCCCATCGTCGTCACCGTTGTCATGATCATCATCAACATTGGCACCATTGTCATCATCATTCCACCCATGCAGACGACGATAGCACACTCATCTTTCGGTGCCTGCCATCGTCGTTCACATCGTCATCACGATAATCCCACCCATCCACATGTCAGAAGTGGATGCTTAGCTACACGTGCATCCCCCATCGCCATCGTCACGTCCCCACCCATGCGCACATCAGCAAGAGCCCACGTGGAGGGTCATGCCTGCGTGGCCCGCGCCAGCCTGGCGAGAGAGGGAGGCAGGGAGCCGCTGGCAGCACCGCCTTTCCCGATGCACAACAGCAACCACGTTTGTGCCTCATCTCTGTGTGTGTGTCTGCTACAGGGAGATGGAAACCACCTTCCCGTCCCAGATGAGCGTGCACCGAGCGACCTTTTACATCGGCAATCGCCGCAGGTCGAAGGGCACGTTCACGGTAAGGAACGCTGCAAACCGCATGGCCTCACACCTGTGCTGGCTTGGCACCCATTAACATCGGGCTTGCAGACAACGCAAGTTCGTTTCCGGATTAAAAACAATAATAACTTGCAAGAGCCCGTCGCTGCGCAGGCGTGGTTTTATTTCCTTATTTGGGAGTTTACCGTTCTGCTGCACGGTCATGTTTCGTTTTGCGAACGTCCCTTTGAGAATTCCTGGACGCGCCGCGCATATTTTCTCAAGTGTAGAACTTCTTTAGCACCGTACGTGAGCAAACCAACGCTGATCGGAGATGCGTGGGAAGGACCACAAACATAACGCAAAAAACATCAGTTCTACAGAAACGCGTTGTTAATCTAGATGCTCTTAAAAAGGCGCAGACGCACGGCACCCGGACAGCAACACGGATGGGATAAAAGATGCGTTGACTCCGAGTTGCGCCCGCGGACGGGACTGACTCCTTTCTGGGCGTCCTCTCGAGTTCAGTGTCTCGCGCCGCGATGCCCCCGGCCTCCGGGGCGACCGTGGTTCCATGCTCGCGACGCGTGCCAGCGCGGCCCCGCTCTGACACAGACTCGTGAACGACTCCGAGGCAAGCTGCGTGACCTCCTCACGTTTCCCGGCCGTTAAAAGCATCGCTGCGGGCGTGAGTGACGTTTATTAGCAGCGAAATTGTCTGTTTTAGCGTGCTCCCCCATGGCGTTTTATTTTTTGTCTCCGCGGCTGCGTGTCGAAGCCTTGGACAATTGAATGATTTTAAGATGTACTCAAAAGCGGCACCGGTGACGGGCATCATCTTGATGCAACGCCTGCACATTTGACTTGGCGATGGGGAAGCCAGTAAGCGCTGTCGAAATGCTTCGTTAGGCGCAGTCACTTCACGCGTAATCCCTCCGTTGACATGGCCCACGGCCCAACCAGTTTGGCAAACATTGTCAGATGCTCGCTCCCGTGAGTGCCACGTGTTGATGAGACAACTCCACTCGAAGGCCGACAAAGTGCGAACGATAACAACACGCCACGGACGAATTAACGTGCATCATATATGTCGTTCAATTACAGTATATCTTTTTTATTCCGACATCAGCTCATCCATTCTGTCACCTCCATCATTTATCTCGTCCTTTCCTCCATCTCCCCCGCACATCTTGAGCGCCTCCCCACTCCCCCCATACTCCCTTACAATTCAGTGGCGAATGTTTTGGCGCTTGTTGTTTCATGTTGGATATGCGTGTGCTCCGATCTGAAGGTCTGTGGTGCATGACAGATAACGCGCAGTTTTCTTACATCGTTCGCCGTCGTGGAAAGACGGTGGCCACCGGATCGTGCGCGGCGCTTCCAGACGCGCTTCTGCCACTGTCTGGAACGCTCTTCCTTCCGATATTAGGAAGCCACTATGCACTTTTAAATCTAGATCGAAAGCTCATTTATTTTATAAGTGCTGTTTGTGTTCAAATTGTTGCCTTTACCCCGCACCTCCGATTAGCACGGTTGGCTACGTATGGTGCGAAAGAAGCTCAAAATATATACAAATTAGAGAGAGACCAAAGTGTGACAGGTGTCCCGTCGCCCAGGAGTCTCAAAGTGGAACATCCCTGGAGCAAAGGGTTCACTCTGCGAGCTTACCTTTCGCCCACTGATGAGAAAACAAACAGTATCCCTCACCTTCCCTTACTCAAACCAAATAACAAAAAACAATAATTGCAATCGTAAGATGTTTCAGATATCTTTACTTGGCCAACAAATATCAGCTGAAAAAGTATTACCCATGTCCCCCCCGCCCACCCCACTGGGTGGTGGTGGCGAGATGTTAACTCCTTTGCTTGGTATACAGGAGGTCGTGGGTTCGATCCCGACCTTGACACCTGTATATTTGGAGTTTGTGTGTTCTCCATGTGGTCGCGTGGATTTTTCTTCGGGTCATCTGCTTTTTCCCTCCATATTTAGAATCAACCAGGTAAGGTGCTGACTGTAGTGTTAGCCGACTCTCTGTGTTGTATTGCATTGTATTTCTAAGCTCACTAAGTTTGTTTTCTACCTGATAACGATTGCTTGTGTTGCAATCGAAACTTCGTATTCTATTATTTAATTTATTTTCTTTACACGTGACTTTACCGAAAGAACCAAAAAGTAATCAACATACGTTTAGAGTATTTGGCTGATACAAATGTCCACGTGATAAGCCACTGCACTGGGCTACTATTCGTGGCCAGGTCGCTCCTGATAAAGAGCCACGGTGGGGGCCTCACCTGGTAAAACAAATAAAAATAATAAAATAATAAAAATAAAACATAATAAAATAATTCTCACGACGTTTCGGCCACAACGCAAGCAGCCGTCCTCAGGTGAAAAACAGGTCTGTCGACAGTTTAGATGGCAGACCTGTTCTTCACCTGAGGACGGCTGCTTGCGTTGTGGCCGGAACGTCGTGAGAATTATTGTATTATGTTTTCTTTTTATTATTTTATTATTTCCCTTCTACGTGACTTTACCGAAAGAACCAAGAAGATGAATCCCTGCAGTCACGAAAGCTTTAAATCGAAATTAAAATAGTTTGCAGTTTTAGCAGTTGGCAACGTCAGCGGACATCGTGGCTTGAGGGGCGCCCGAAGTCAGCGGTCACTCACCGAGCGCGCCCTCATCCCCTTGTTTGTGTTCCCTCGCCAGGGGCTGCTGAGGCAGCTCGTGCTGCTGCCGGGCGCCGACGCCACGCACATGCTGTGCCCGAGCCCTGATCCGCAGACGGCCGCACTGCGCATCCCCCCGGCTCTCGAGCTCATCCCACCTGGGCCCCCTCGCAGCCGCACTCCCTTCGGTGAGATCGCCCCGCCCTCACCCCACCGCGCACTCACCCGGCCCTCTAAACTAAACAAAAACACATTTTTTGTACCAGGTAAGGCTCACTCAGCTATATAGCTCTTTTTTAGAAGCGACCTGGCCACAAATGATAGCTCAACGAAGTCGCTGATCATATGGAGATTTATAGCAGCAAAATATTATAAACGCGTGATGTTGATTCTAAACCTGGAGGTAAAACCCAGGGGACCCAGAGAAAAACCCACGCGACCACGGGGGAGAGAACACGCAAGCTCCAAATATACAGCAGGCGTCAAGGGTTGGGATCGAACACACGGATTTCTGCATACCAGGCGAGGTAGTTAACGAGTTGACATCTCCTCGCCACCGCGGCGCCCCACTCCCTGCCCTCTGAGAGTTGTGAAAGGAGCCGGCAGGCGTTGAGGGGTTTTCGTTGGGAAGGGTTGGGGTTCGGGCCGGAGATGCCCGGTTACCACCGGAAAACGGCGTTATCAGCAGAAGCCTTTATTCCCAGCCGCAATCAGGTAACCCCAGCGGAAAGCCCTTTATGCCAAAAGACAGGGAATATTTCCAGTTTTTTTTGAAGGGACAGAGATTCAAAGAGCGAGCGCTGATGGCAGCGGCAGATGGGAATCTCATAACTATAAACAGGTGAGCCCTGCCCTACAGCACGCCGACGGTCTCACACCCACACACACACACCAGAGACAAAGATTCCTGTGGAGGATGTTGGGACAAGTGCTGTTGGTGAGCACCTATTATGTGCCTCGAATGACACACGTGGGTGTCGTGGCTGGCACCACGTCCAGCCACCTTTGTCTCCCCATTTCTGATGTTTACGCACCTTACCAGGTTGTCGTTTTATGGCTGAGTCTACCTAGGGGAGGCCCGGGACGGGTTCAAATATTTGCCACTGTTATTGGTCGTGAGCGGGAATCAAACTCGGTTCAGCATGGGGATAGGGCAGTGCGATAACCACGACGCCACCGCTCCCGACAGACACACAACCAGATGTAGACAAAGAACAAACACACAGAGACCCCCGTATAGCCTCAACAGACTGTTGGGGCAAGTGCTGTTAGTAGGCATGTATGAAGGCTGGCACGGCACACGAGGGGGTGGGTGGCCAACACCACATCCGGCAGCCTTTGTCTCTCGAGTGGCGACGTTTACACACCGCACCAGATACTCATTTGAGGCTGAGTCGACCTAGGAAAAGCCCGGGACCGGTTCAGATAATCATCACCGGTGTTGGCCGTGAGCGGGAATCGAACTTGGGTCGTCGGGTTCGTAGCTCAGCGCGCCAACCGCTGCACCACCGCTCCCCACACACCAGACGTAGACACAGACACACACAACGCACTCGCCGTCCAACAGGCGTGTGGCTCTGACAGACTGCCCAGACAGGTTGGAAGAGGATGGTGTTTTCCACTCTTTGTCCCAACCGCACGTAATCTCTGTATTGGCACGAGGCAGTGTGTCTTCTGGAAAGATGAGATATATTCCTGTGCACAGTGCCTCCACCGCTCAGATGGGATCTATTCGACTGTCGTGTGTCTTTTGGTGAGATGGCATCTGCCCCTTCCGCAGTGAAGCGCAACTCGAGTGCTGCATCTATACGACAGCGCATAGCTTACATGCAATCGGGTTGTTGTGTTTTTGTCAACTCACGTGCTGTTATTGAAATATTACATTATCGTTGGGGGGAGGGGGATTGGGGGGGGGGCAGTGGTGTGTTGGTTAACGCACACTTCGTTCTAGAACCAGTGGTCTGATGGAAAATGATATCCGAACTGGTTCTGGGGTCTCTCTTCTCTCACCAGTCGGCACGGGATCAGTGCGATAAATTAGAAAACAAAAAACCCATTGGCTCACCCAGTTGTGGGGGGCTCTCTCCTCCAGCAACTGCCTGAGAAGTAGCTGAAATGCATGTGCGTATATGTTGAACTTCTTTCGCATCGTACGTGGCCAACCGTGCTAATCAGAGGCACTAAATCGGGAAGTGCGGCTAATCGGAGGTGCGGAAATGTCAAATTAACGTGCAGAGCATTAATGCTGTGGACGCGCGTGGAATGCTTTGCGCAGCAAAAATGCTGGCAACATGCAAACGATCTACAAAAGCTGCTTGACTTGACAATGCATTTCCACGACATCGTCTAAGTGCAGTGCGCAATGCACTACATCTCTCCAAGACTTGAGCCGTATAGTCCATTAGTCCCGTAGGGTCAGAGTGCTGTGCGCTTGGTGGCACGGACAGAGTAACGCAACGCAGAGCCCTCTTCACGGGGCGCGCAAGCAGCGTGGATGAGAGTCCCCGCTCGCATTGCAGCAAAGTGCTGCAATGCGAGCAGGCGGGCCGGCGGGCTGGGAACGATGGGTTAACGTACCACTATTTAAGATTTTTTAAAATTTTACTAGGTAAAGCCCACTGAGCTATATAGCGCTTATTCAGAAGTGACCTGGCCACAAATGATAGCCCAACGAAGCGGCTTATCGTCTGAGCATTTATAGCAGCCGAAAGAAAATCCCCGAACGCGTGATGTTGCTTCTCAAAGTGTAGGGGGGGGGGGGGAAGAAAGAACCCGGAGGACACGTCAACGGGGCGAACCGCTCGCGGAGCCCAGGGGCCGCGCTCGCGCGCCGCGTGCGTAGGACAACGCGCGAGGAATGCGTGTCATCGCCAATATCCACTACATTTCCTCCTCGGCAGATGTTTTCCGCGTTTGGCAACGGGCAGCCACGGCCGCCCCCCCCCCCTGCCCTCCCCCTCCCCCCCTCCCCCCTTCTCTCCACTTGCCGTTGAAACCTCGGCATGCTCGCGCTCGGGCCGCGGTCTCCGCGCCGCCACGCGTTGCTTCACGTCCTCTCCCTTGTGCTCGTCGGCGCCCTGCGACCGCCAGAGACGGACCTCCGCATCACCCTGGGAGGGACGCCCCGCTGCGACGGCGGCTTCGCCGGCAGGGTCTGGTTCGACGCGAAGAAGAAATCCCTGCGTCTGTGCAACGGCACCCACTGGGCGTCCTTGTTCCGAGGTGACCGCTCGCGAGGAGCACGCGCACCTAGACACGGCCACGCTGCGGCCCGCGCGACGCTCGCGGGCCGACGCGTAACCCCTGCAGATGCGAAACGAACTCGGGGCAGCTTCAAGGGCTTGGCCGTGTGAGAGCGTGCGTGGTTTGTGCGGTCCGTCACACGTCTTGCTAAACCGCCGCACGTACCCGCGCGGCTCCACGAGCCGTTGCTCTTGACGCCTGGTTGTGTAAGCGTTGTTCGTTATGAAAACTTTCCGGCGTTATTATTATTATAAAAAAAAATTTGAGGACAGTGATCTCAGGTAAATATGAGATATTTTCGGATAATATGTTTGAGCCGATGTGGTGTCTGTGGCTCGTTGGTTGAATGTGAATCTCTCTCGGTGAGAGCTCCATTTCTGTCCGACTTTTGGCATACATTTACCAATGGCTCCATCACCGTTCATGGTGGGGAGGGGCGGGGGGTGGGGAGAGCCAAAGGGACGTGTTTTTTTTTTACCATTTCCAACAAGATGTCAATCTAGAGCGAGGGGTCGGAAACCAAAATAACAAGCGGAGCCATTTGTTTTGGGGGCGAATTCGGTAACAACAAACCCACCCCGCCTAAAAAAATATTTCAAGAACGTTCAATGTGCACGTGAATGCGCGACTGTGGTGGTTCTTTACTAAAGAGCGGTCACGAAGGCGGTCCCCTAAAGAGCCGCGTGCATGCGGCTCCGGAGCCGCAGGTTGCCGACCCCCTGATCTAGAACAAAAAATGTAAAACTCCGAAAACAGCATGAATTTAAAACGTATTACGACGTGAATAAAGCATTGATACAGTAATATAACCGTGAATGTGAGCTACACACTGCATGTGCGTCGACGCTGCGTTGGTCTCGGGGCGAACTGACTGCCATAACCGTTTGGCATGTTTTATTCGGGCCAGCTGGGGAGAGACTCAATTACATTGACGACCACCAGAACCTGGTGGCCAACTCGGGGACGCGGGACATTGAGGTGTTTGAGATCAAGAACGTCGGCGTGTTTGCCGCCGTGGCGAGCGACGACGCCAATGCGGGCTCCATCATCTTCAAGTGGAGCAACGGAACTTTCCAGACCTACCAGGTCATCCAGACCAACAAGGCGGAGAAGTGGGAGTTCTTCACGATCGCTAAAGACGTGCGTCTGCTTTTGGCTTTGCCGGTTATTTCCCCCCGATGTATTGCTGCGTCGTTACCAGGTCTCTTCGCAGGGCCTTTTCTGCCACGGTGGCTAGGAAATGTTAACTACCTCGCCTGGTATATAGGAGGTCGTGAGTTCGATCCCGACCCTGATGCCTGCTGTATATTTGGAGTTTGCATGTTCTCCCCCCCCCCGTTGTCATATGGATTTTTTTCCGGGTGCTCCAGTTTTTCCCCCCACATTCACAATCATGCGTTCAGAGTGTTTGGCTGCTATAAATGACCACGTTATAAGCCGCTTTATTGGGCTATTAATTGTGGCCAGGTCGCTTCTGAAAAAGAGCGATATAGTTCGGTGAGAATTACCTGGTAAATTAGAAGAAAAAATTTGTTCAGTTTAAAATAGTTTGTGTCCAACTAAAGGGATACTGCCGGAGACCCGGTTGAGGATCGCTGACCCACATGACAGGAGAATGTCAAATATGGCCCTCTGGGCGAGGAGTGGATCTTCTCTTGCCCCACTCGTCAGGATATCTGCGGCTGTACGAGGCTGAGGCCGGGGGGGGGGGGGGTGGGGACCACAGGTCCTCGTGGCTTGTCATCAGATCGACCGCTACTGTCGAGACTCGGGATGAGAAGGAAGATCGCTTCGGAGGGGGAGGGTGGAGCGGGGGGGGGGGGGGGGTGCTTTGCCAGGAGGGACCCTGGGGGGTTCGAGCCTCAGGGTGGATGCTCCCATTTGACTTGCGGTGCTTCCCGCACAGTCACCAGCCCCCTCCATCAGCACACCGCGATCGCTCCCCTCGCGATGCTCACTCGGCTGAGCGAGCGCCGTTGCAGGGTTTAGAGATTTGAGCTGCCACCTGCGGTGTTCTCGGCTAGAGATTGAACCTGGGTCACGGGGACAATCAGCACGGTGCACAAAACCACTGATACGCACGCGTACAGACGCACGTGAGATCCACGCGTGTGCTTCATGTGACAGTCGTACCTGGCCGTCGCCAACCTGGGCAGCGACGCGAGCGGGCAGGAGTTCTCGGTGGTGTACAAGTGGAACCGGCGCCAGCGCCTCTTCGTGCCGTACCAGCGCATCGTCACGCACAGCGCCCGCGACTGGGAATCGTTTCGCATCGGCGGGGAGACCTACTTGGCAGTGGCCAACCACGCGAAAGGTGCCCTGCTTTGCTGCACACACACACGCTAGTACCTCTATCCAGAACTAACATTTTGAAAAAAATATTTTACCAGGTAAGGCCCACTGAGCTATGTAGCTATTCTTTCAGAAACGACCTGGCCACAAATGATAGCTCAATGAGGTGGCTTATCAAGTGCAAATTTACAGCAGCCAAATAGACTCTAAAAGCGTGTTTCTAAATGTGGAGGGAAAAACCGGAGGACCCGGAGGAAAATCCACTCGACCACGGGGAGAACGCGCAACTTCCAAATATACAGCAGGCGTCAGGGTCGGGATCGAACCCACAACCTCCTGCATAGCAGGCGAGGTAGTTAACATCTCGCCACTATGGCACAGCGTGAGTCAACCGCTATTCTCCACTAACTAGCGGTGATGTGACCACGGTAAATTGTGGCCAGGCTCGGTGGAAAATAAATACACATACACGGCCGCCTTTGTCTCCAAGGGGGCGATGTTTACACACCACACTAGGTACTCATTTGAGGCTATCGAAATGCCTAATTTCGATTGGATCATTGGGGTTTATTAGTAATGAATCGGCATTTTGCGACCCCCACTGCCACGTTGTAGCATATTATTACGTGCCAGGGACTCTATGAGACGATAGGACAATCGTCTGAGTCCATAATTGCCAATAAGTAACGGCAAGGCAGTTATAAGTGACTCACAGAATTGTGCACAGTTGCGTATACAGTACACGACTTTCCCGAAGGCATTCACCTTCAGCGAGCGCGATGCCGATCACACAACGCGGTTCGAAATCGACCCTCGATCAATGGCTGCGCTATCGCCGCACACGCGTCGAATAAAAAGCAAGGGACAAGTCCTTACTTACTAACAACTCCTTACTTACTAACAACTCCTCTATCATTTTTAATTGTTGGAAGGATTGCCCCCCCGACCTGAAAATCCTGGCTCCACCATTGGCTGAGTCGACCACGGGGAGGCCCAGGATTGTTTATATATTTTCGTAACTGGTGTTGGCCATGAGCGGGAATTGAACCTGTGTTTGTAGTGCAGTGAAACCACTCTCCACGGCTTAAAGGAGAGTGACTGGCTTTGGCTTTGGCCAGTCACTCACTCACACACTCACACCCACTGCCATAGAGCATCATGAACACGGAAAAATAAAATCTATGGGAAGCCAGCCCGTGCCATCTCATGGGTCCAGAAACCCAGAGATGCCAGGCGCTGCCCACTTTGTGCCCAGCCAGCAGTCATTAAATCCATGAAAATTAAATGAGAGACCATTACAACTGCGCTGTTGCCCGTGTTGTATCATTCCCCACTTGGCGAAGCCAGCGTAGTCCGTGGTCAGGCTTGCCAACGACGTTCGGCTACAGCTGATATCTCCCGTCACCTCCTTGGGCCAGCAGTGTGCTCACGATATAACGGACAGCAAATGCAAAACCTGACGATTAAAACTGATCGTGTGTTTTTTTTCAACAACAAAAAAAGTAACCGTCGCGCGATGACGCCCGCAGACCAGAACCTCCTGACGGACAGCGTCATCTACAAGTGGAACTGCCACGAGCGGCGCTTCGACGAGTTCCAGCGCGTGCCCACGGCCGGCGCCTACGACTGGGAGTTCTTCCGCGTCGGGGCCTTCTCCTTCCTGGCCGTGGCCAACACCTACGACGGCGCCTCCACGCGCGTCGAGTCGCGCGTCTACGTGCTCCAGACCGGCAGCTTCGTCTTCTTTCAGGCCATCGAGGTAGCCGGCCCCGTCACGTCGTCCCTGTCGCCGCCGGGTTTGCGCTGCCGCTCCGCGCCACCCCAGAGTCCACCCCCACTGTGCCTTGGGGCCTCGTATCAGGACGGCGCAGGTGGCGAGATGTTTACTACTCCGCCTGGTATACAGGAGGTCGTATAGATCCCGATCCTGACGATGCCTGCTCTATATTTGGAGTTTGCGTGTTCTCTCTCCCCACGGTCGCGTGGATTTTTCTCCGGGTCCCCCGGTTTTTCCCTCCACATTTAGAATCAAAATGTGCGTAGAGTATTTGGCTGTTATAAATTTGCACGCGATAAGCCACTTCGTTGAGCTATTATTTGGGGCCAGGTCGCTTCTGAAAACGACCTATATAGCTCAGTGGTCCAAACCTGGTAAAATAAAATAAAAAAGTTTCGTTCAAGTATCTCTACAACGGGCAGCAGAATTAATTCTCATGAAGCTGCTGAATTAATAAAATGGGGCCATACAGGTTCATTCTCTACTTGGTGGTGAAACTGCACTGGGGCCCAGACGCCAGGCTGCGCAGTGAGTAGCCAATCTGACAGGGCGACCCCATTGCATTCCATGCACCGGGCCATATCTATGTATGTTGAACTTTTTTCGCACCGCACGTAGCCACCCGTGCTAATCGAAGGTGCGCACATGGCCTACGTCAATCACACTACGCCGCAGCATTAGATGTAACTCACCACGTGGTACGCTACGTATTGCCGTACGTGTTTCACTGCGTCCAGCTTTTGCGCGTATCGGCTCTCTGCGATTGGACTCGAGAGTAAAGTGTCGTCAGCCTGTGCGCGCGTACAATTATGACGAACTTATCTTGAGTGCGGGAGGGCGCGTGGATCCCCCTCTTTATCTCTATCTCTACGGAGCCCTCGCATGCTACCAAATGTCTACAGTAACTTCTGAGGTTGCCTCCGGCTATCCGGCATCTCGGCTGTTATCACACGCTTATCTTATCTTTGGCACCTCCACGTGTGTATCTTTCATGTCTTTTGCCCGAGCGCACGCCTCTGCACGAAAGGCCTTTCAACTCCTGACAGCGACCACCACCATCAGGGCCTCTAGAAACCCGCAACAAGGCACCGGGGTTGTGGCATACGAAGCATCGCGGTTTGTAGGTTCCGGCACTCTGAACACAGCCGGTGCAGTTTGTGCGCACTGACACACTCCGTGTGAGCGTGTTCCCCACTCGCAAAAGCAAATCAGTCTAAACTTGTGTCTAATTGTGCTTTTACATAACAGAGGGGGGGCGGGGGGGGGGGGGTTTCGTTGGATTAGATCACGTAAAAATAAATGTGTCATTAAACTCGCCGCCACCCGACACAGCCAATCAGTAAAGTTTGTCACGTAAACAAAACGTGAAAATTAGTTACTAGTTCAGCACACAGGTGTGTTGGAGAATAAACCCACAGCATTTATAATTAATCAGGCGATCTAACCAAACAAAACACCTCTATTATGGATGATATTGAGTCGCTAAACCCTTCATGTTAAATAGTACTTTTGAGGATTTTTTTTCTTGATTCTGACCTCTAGCCGAACCCAAGAGAAAGGGAACGCTGTTAAACACAATGACATAGCGGCGACGTTGAGAATCAAAACGTGGAAGGGTTGCACAAAGGTGCCGTGTACAGTGACCCTAGCCGCCCGTTGCCAGTGTAGCTGCCTCCCAGTCATAGGGGTAGATCGTTTGTCGGGGCCCCTAGGCAAGTGGCAGTGGTGTAAACTGCGCTGATTGGCTTATTGTCTTGCCCGCTGACAGGATAGATTGCCCCCCCCGGTTGGCTGCTTCTGGGGCCCCCTGTGTTATGCCGCACTCTGCTTGCGATGGCGGAGGTCACATCTCAGCTGTGTGGCGGCGGTGATATCTGCCAGAAGGAAGGGATGGGTTTTGCAAGATGAGCTGTGTCTCAATGGGATGAAGAGGGTGGCACATGAGGGGCAGTGTTCATTAGGGGGGCACGGTCTCTCATAGAGCCTCCCCCATGGAAACACTACGAGAGAAGCGGAGTCGCTCATTGCTCATTTGGGTTGGTTGAGTCTCGTGTCTCGAAGCTCGACATGGTGGGGGGATTTGTTGGCAGGTTCAGCAGATGTTGAGCGAGCGAGTGAGTCAGAGAGTGACTGAGCGAGCAAATGAGTGATTGAGTGAACAAGTGAGTGAGAAAGTGAGTATGTGAGCGACTGAGTGTGTGAGGGAGTGAGTGAGCAAGTTAGTGAGCGAGTAGAGCGAGTAAGTGAGTAAGCGAGCGAGTGAGTGTGTGAGTGAGAAAGCGAGTGTGAGAGCGAGTGGACTTGTGCATGAGTGTGTGAATGAGTGAGTGAGTGTGCAAGCAAGTGAATATGAGAGTGAGTGAGTGAGCAAGTTAGTGAGTGTGTGTGGGAGCGAGCAAATGAGTGAGCTCGCGAGTGAGTGAACGAGTGAGTGAGTGAGCGAGTGAGTTAACGAGTGAGTGAGTGCGTGAGGGAGCGAGTGAGTGAGTGAGCGAGCGATGCGTGAAGGGAGGATACTCACCCATACAGGTTCAGCGGGATGTCCGCCACCTCGGTCGCGACCCATGTCCCGTGGTGCAGAGGCCGTGATGTCCGCTTGTCCGCCCGCAGACGTGCGGTGCCACCGACTGGGAGGCGTTCACGATCGAGGGCAGGACGTTCCTGGCCGTGGCCAACGGCGTCAACTTCGGGCCCCACATCATGAACACGAGCGAGTACGCCATCAACTCGACAATCTACGAGCTCAACGTGGCCGAGCTCATGTTCGTCAAGTTCCAGGACATCCTCACCTACAGGTGAACCCGCGCCGGGCGTGTGCTCCGCTACCCCCGCCAGACGCCTCGACGGCTGGCGGGACCGCACATGTCCACGAGCCTCCGGCACCTTTTAATAAAGCGGCAAATCACCGCGGCGAAAATTAGAGGCCTGGCAAGCGGAAAATAGCGCGTAATCCGCTAATTTCATGAAGCCCGAACGCAACCGACTCAGAGCCACCGGCCAAACGTGACCCCGGCTCCCGGTCTACCTGAATCACGTGCCTAGCTTCAACGCCTTCAGGGGGACAAGTAAACGCGGATACGACGGTTTTAGTTTTGTGTCCTGCGCTGGTGAGTTTATCGCGCGATGATTAAATAGTTGGATTCTTTGAGCTTTAGATTTGTACCGCTTGAGGAGGCCGAGTGGCTCAGAGGTCAGAGCGCTGAGCTGACATCGCTGGGGCCTTGGGTTATAATCCAGACAGCGGCATCCTGTGTTAATGAAAACCAGATGGTCACGGCCCAAATGACCGTTAAATTGCATATGGTGCTGCACTTAATTTGTCTTATAATCAAGGTCTGAGAAGTAAATACATTTGTGTTTGATTGCCATGTGATGAACATCACTCTCAGTGGCAGAGTGGGTGGAATATTCTGCCACCTGCTTTGGGGACCAGAGGTCACTTGAAAGTGATCTCAGGGGGTACAACTTTATTTTAGTATTTTTCATTTTACCAGGTAAGGCCCACTGAGCTGTATAGCTCCTTGTCCAGAAGCGAGCTGGCTACAAATGATAGCTCGTCATGTGGAAATGTATAGCAGCCAAACACTCTAAACGCGTGATGTCGTTTCTAAATGTGGAGAGAAAATCGGAGGACCCGGAGAAAAATCCACACCACCACGGGGAGAGAGGACATCCAAACTCCAAATATGCAGGCGTCAGGGTCAGGATCGAATCCACGACCTCCTGCATACCAGACACTACACCACTGCTCCCGCACAGGGGTGCCGCGGTGGCGAGACGTCAACTACCTTGATTTGAAGCTTTCGTGACTGCAGGAATCCATACTCTTTGGTTCTTTCGGTAAAGTCACGTTGGTAGAAAAAATAATAGATCACGACGTTTCTATCGCAACACCGTCATCAGGTGTGAAACAAACACAGCAGGACTGCTGACGGTTGCTTGTGTTGCGATCGAAACGTCGTTATCTATTCTTTTTTCTACCTATGTGACTTTACCGAAAGAACCAAAGAGTTTACACTATGAGATCTCCTTTACCAGTGGCAAAATATAGTAATAGGTTTTTACCCTTTTAACTGGTACAAAATATGACACCTTTATACAAGGCATCATGTTTGCAATAACCTCAACACAAGAAGTCAAAATGCAAACAAAAAGAAACAACTCTGATGATGATAATGATATGCACTGTCCTTGAAGTTGATTGGTCCACACCCGAGACAGCTTTCTTTAGAGCCTAGTCTCCATTGGTGTTGGACCAGATGACGCCAAAAGGCGTACTACTAACCAAAGAGTTTGTTAACTACCTTCTGAAAAATAACTTCATAGCTCAGTGGGGCCTTACCTGGTAAAATAAAACAAATATGGAACAAAATGCGTACCTCTGAGAGCCCTTTCAAGTGACCTCTCATCCACAAATCAGGTGGCCAGCATTTCCCCAGCCACTCTGCCGCCGAGATCAATGTCCATCGCACGACAATCACACAGATACATTGAATTGTTCAGAGCAGTGGCTAGCTGCACGCACGCAGCGAGGGAAACCCTCCTCACACGGCCGACGGGCATGGACACAGAGAGCCACCCTCGTCACACCACGAGGTGGCAATGTGATCCACGAGCTTCAAACACCGCCCCCCCCCCCTCCCCACAACGTTCAACCGTTGATTTGTTTTCCCAGCGCCACCGACTGGGAGTTTTTCACCGTTGGGGATGAAAAATACCTCATCGTTGCCAACTCGTTCGATGGCTCAAGCTACTCGTTAAACAGTGTTATATACAGGTGAGCGCTCGCCCGTGACGTCGACGAGGTTGGTATCATGTCATCGCGCGGAGCCATTGGCTAGTCGTTGTCCGGATAGCGTGTTCCGTTGTGAAGAATTATATGCAGAGGATGATCCATTTATAGGTACCCGCCCTGACAATAACGGGGAGAATTGATGTGGAGTACGAGTCTCGTTTGAAAGTCTCGACACGTCCCCCCCAAAAAGTCTACATGACTCATTTGCGTGCTTTTAACGCTCTGCTGAAGCATGCTGCCACCTTATCACTCTGCCCCCCTCCCCCTCCACTGCGTAAGATACGGAGCCGTCGCTTTCACGATACTCAATCGCCTGTCGAGAAGGAAAGCAAAAGAGGGTCGTTAGAAATCAGTGGGGGTACCTATATATGGATCGCCCTGTACGAGGGCGGTCGGTGTTTTTTTCTCCGCGAGAGATGCAGCGTTTGCGCGAGGCTCATGCGATGCAGCCTCGAGAATTCACTAACGATCCTTAATTGAGTTGGCATTGATCGGTAATGATGGCATCTAAGGGGAGTCGCTCAATCTGTGCCCCCTCGGGGCCAGATAAGGCCGGGGTCCTTTAGGGGCTCTGGCCCAAGGCCTAGAAGTTTGAGAGCCCAGCCAAAAACTACGGAGCGCGTTATAACGGTCGAATGCAGGCACTGTGATAAACCCTCGTTTGGAAAGGAACCCCATAGACCTCACTATGCTGAACAGGGGCAGTTATGGGCCGACATGAAAAGGGGTTTTGTCCGTTTTAACTTTGGTTCGGCTTTATAATACTCACCTCGTGTATTTAGAAACCGGAGCTGAATAGCCAAGGTGAATAACGACGGAGCGTTTGACATCGCCCATGGGTGGTGGTAGAGAGTATTTATTTTTTAAGTCGAAGCGATCCGCTCTCCAAATGATCACTGATGCAGCACTCATCTCCCGTTTACAGCCTTGAGCCAGCGGTGGAAAATCCACATTCCTATGCCGGGGTGGGGGGGGGGGGCAGTCTATCCACAGGCCAACCGCTGTTGACTTCTCTGCAAAGTGGGGCTCGTTTTCAGAGGTGTAGCTAGGGGGGGCAGGGGGGTACATATGTCCCCGTATGCCAAGGTAAAGGGGCGCCAAAATGAGGCTTACGACGTTACATTATAACTTATATCGGCGGGCGCGACAGCCTGAAACTACTGCACAAAACTACACCTCAACCTAAAAGTTTATATATCCTGCCACACACAGCCTACATGTCATGTAATTACATTTTGGTATGTGATTAAACGGAGGGGGCGCCAATTTTATAGTTCGTCCCCGGGCGCAAAATATCCTAGCTACGCCACTGCTCGTTTTTTTGTCTCGACCCTGGAGGAGTTGAGAACTCACGACGTCCTCCCTCTTGCGGGCCGCTCCCGCAGACCACTCGGCCAGCCTGCCCGACTGGCAGGGAAGGAATTGAACAAACAAAAGAGGTGGCGGGGCGGGGGGGGGCGCATCGAATCAGCACCGGGGCCCCCTTTAAAACTCAATCCCCCTCTCTGCCGTGGTTCGGCGGGCGCGTGTGTAACGCGTGCCCCCCTCCGCGCGTGCCCCCCCACCCCCCACAGGTGGCAAGGCTACGAACGCTTCGTGCCAGTGCACCGCCTACCCACGGTGGCGTGCGCCGACTGGGAGAAGGCGGTCATCGGGGACCAGCGCTACCTCCTCTACTCCAATGCGCACGACAAGGTGTCCAAGGTGCTCAGGCTCAACGTGTCGTGAGGGAGGGTTGGGGGGGTGGGGGAATGAGCGGTCATGGGAAATGCGAAAGCCGTGGTGGTGGGGGGGGTGGCAGGGGTGCATTTGGAACTCGGCGGTATCCCCACTGCCCCCCCCCCCCGCGCGTGGCTCGCATCGCGCTGGGCGGGCAACTGAGATGCACCCTGAGGCCCATGACGTCAAGCATTACAAGCAGGAGGTTTTTAAAAAAACCTCTATAAAATATATATTTTATTTATGCTTTTCAACAACAGCAGTAGGGAACCGAAGTGGACAGTTCAGTGGGCGATGGGGGAAACGCGTCGACAGGCAGCTAGTTGTGTTACCAGCCGTGATCTAGGAAACTGGATGGAAAGCTGGAGAGGGGGGCGGGCAGGGAGGGATGAGAAGAAAATCGGGGAATAGTCAAGGAGGGGACTGGGGAAAAAGAAGAAGAGGAGAGTGAGCAGGACGGGGGTGGGACGGGGATTGTTTTGAACGCTGCTGCTGCTGTTGTTGTTGCGTCTCCACGCTGCGTCTCGTCGCCATGCCATGGTGAGCCGAACGCACCGCTGCTAAGGAACCGCCGGACATGAGCCCTTGCCGTGCCGCCGGATGTTAGCGGGGCGACGTTGGCGCGGAGACGTTAGCGTGGGGACGTTAGCGTGGGGACGTTAGTGGGAGGACGTTAGCGCGGGGACTGCCGCCCGATGTTGTCCTCCTCGATGGCGCTTTGTTGCAGGTGCTGCTTGCGCGCGGTGTACGATTTGTACGTACATTGAACTTCTTTCGCACCATACGTAGCCAACCGTGCTAATCGAAGGTGCGGGGCAAGGGCAGCTAAAACAGCAACTCACAGTCGTCAGCTTCTCTTACCGGTTGCACAAAGCCAACATTTGGCACGTCTGCTGAAAGACAAAATGAGTTTTAACCAACGCATTCAGGTGTAAATACATTCCCTATAAATAATAATGAGAATAATTCACACGACTACAATGCTATGTTTTCATATAATATATCGGATTATATTGTTAATATTATAAAAATTGTAAGGAACTATGTCGTTGCTACATTTAATATATGCTGGCTAGCGATGTGCTTTTTAAAGCCAGGGCCACCACGCCCAACCAATCAGTTGCGCAACAAATCACTCTCAAATTTCAAGAGACTTAACCGTCCGCAACTGCTTAGTCCACATCTGAGCGAGCAGTTGCGCAACACAGAAAACCTAAACGGTACATTTAAACAGTCGCTGCAAATAATCATGAACATGATTCATGACGTGCACGTATTTCAGGAATCGGACGCAATATTCTATCGGGAACTCAGAGGCGCAGAGCAAAAGCTCAAAGTCCTTCATACACCAGCCTACACAGTTGATAGAGCCTGGATCAGGTGAGAGCCTGGATCAGGTGAGAGCCTGGACAGGTCAGAGCCTTGAGCTGTTGCATGAAGGTGGATGATGGTGCTCACATGCTGCTAAAAATTTGCAGCAGTGAGAGAGAAAGTTGCAGACGGCCACTGCCGGTGTAGCTACGGGGAAACACTGCTCAGCCAGGATGGTGCTAGTGCTGGATGCGATGAGCCGGTCGTTAGGTGAGCTCCGTAGGAAGCTCAGTGGCCCTTACCTGGTAAAATGAAAAAAGCATTAGCTGTCCTGTATCCTTGAATTCATGGGGAGCCAGTGCAAGGCTTTTAGCCATGGAAATATCGTGGTCCTTAGAGCAGATCGCTTCAAAATGGAGTCTGTTTCTACTGTGAGAAACCACTTTGTGCATCTGCTCGTATTTGGCCGCAGATATCAGTTGTGCGCAATAGATTGCTGCAATGAGGGGTATACTGGATGTGCTGTGCCAGGTGCGGATAGATTTCTTGGTTGCCAAACCGGGAAAGAGCCGGCTGAAATAAAGGCCAGCCTCTCGCCTAGAGGACCATAGACCCACACCGGGGAAGGGTGTTTGGCGCATCGCCACGTGTTGTTACGTGTCGTCGTGTTGTCACGTGTCGTCGCGTCATCGCGTTGTCACGTGTCGTTACGTCGTTGTGTTGTCACGTGTCATTGCGTCGTTGTGATGTCACGTTTCATCGCGTCATCGTGACGACACGACGGTTGCGACGGTCGCGAGTGCAATATGTCGCTGCTCGGCAAGTCGGCGGCCTGGATTCCACTCGGCGAACTGAAACCTCTCAAAGTATCGGTGCTCGTAATTATCGATCTATTTAAGACGGGTGACAGGGGAACAATAACAACAAAAACACTGGAGATTTGAAAAATTATCAGAAAATATTGGTGCTTTTCAAAATACAAAAGTATTTTGTATAATTTTTATATTCACGCTTTGTATTTTGTTTTCTACAAGAAACAATGCACATGTATTTGTATTATTATCATTGTGCTGCACAGTAATTAAATTGTGACAAATGCTACATATTGTAGAAGAACACAGCGGTGCTCAAAGAATAGAGAAGACGCAGTCACCTCGGGTGGCAGGGTGGCGCAGTGGTCACACTCACACATCACAGTCAGAAGGCCCTGGGAGCGATTGGATTTGGATGCCTTTCTCTGTGGGCTGTGCATGTGCTCCCCTGCTTTGCAGAGTGAGTGTGAGTGAGTGTGTGTGAGAGTGAGTGAGTGTGGGGTTTGCCTTGTGGCTAAAGCACAGCAAATTGACACAGTAGGGGGCACAGGTGGTGCATCAGCCATTCATCTCAGTAAGTAGACCCGTGGCACCTGGGTCTGCCCCGTGACCTCCTGCCAGCAGGCTTTTGAAACTTCACGTGGCCTCAAGGTGTACATAGCCTGGCACAAGCGTCGTGGTGACGTCACCGCCACTTAGTGGCGAATGGCGGTTGTTGTTGTTGTTGTTGGTTTGTATGTTCTACCCTGCTCTGCAGAGTGAGTGTGAGTGAGTATGCATAAGAGTGAGTGTGGGGTTTGTATGTTCTACCCTGCTCTGCAGAGTGAGAGCGAGTGAGTGTGCGTGAGAGTGAGTGTGGGGTTTGTATGTTCTACCCTGCTCTGCAGAGTGAGTGTGAGTGAGTGTGCGTGAGAGTGAGTGTGGGGTGTGTATGTTCTACCCTGCTCTGCAGAGTGAGTGTGAGTGAGTGTGCATGAGAGTGAGTGTGGGGTTTGTATGTTCTACCCTGCTCTGCAGAGTGAGAGCGAGTGAGTGTGCGTGAGAGTGAGTGTGGGGTTTGTATGTTCTACCCTGCTCTGCAGAGTGAGTGTGAGTGAGTGTGCGTGAGAGTGAGTGTGGGGTGTGTATGTTCTACCCTGCTCTGCAGAGTGAGTGTGAGTGAGTGTGCGTGAGAGTGAGTGTGGGGTTTGTATGTTCTACCCTGCTCTGCAGAGTGAGTGTGAGTGAGTGTGCGTGAGAGTGAGTGTGGGGTGTGTATGTTCTACCCTGCTCTGCAGAGTGAGTGTGAATGAGTGTGCGTGAGAGTGAGTGTGGGGTTTGTATGTTCTACCCTGCTCTGCAGAGTGAGTGTGAGTGAGTGTGCGTGAGAGTGAGTGTGGGGTGTGTATGTTCTACCCTGCTCTGCAGAGTGAGTGTGAGTGAGTGTGCGTGAGAGTGAGTGTGGGGTGTGTATGTTCTACCCTGCTCTGCAGAGTGAGTGTGAATGAGTGTGCGTGAGAGTGAGTGTGGGGTTTGTATGTTCTACCCTGCTCTGCAGAGTGAGTGTGAGTGAGTGTGCGTGAGAGTGAGTGTGGGGTTTGTATGTTCTACCCTGCTCTGCAGAGTGAGTGTGAGTGAGTGTGCGTGAGAGTGAGTGTGGGGTTTGTATGTTCTACCCTGCTCTGCAGAGTGAGTGTGAGTGAGTGTGCGTGAGAGTGAGTGTGGGGTTTGTATGTTCTACCCTGCTCTGCAGAGTGAGTGTGAGTGAGTATGCATGAGAGTGAGTGTGGGGTTTGTATGTTCTACCCTGCTCTGCAGAGTGAGTGTGAGTGAGTGTGCGTAAGAGTGAGTGTGGGGTTTGTATGTTCTACCCTGCTCTGCAGAGTGAGTATGAGTGAGTATGCATGAGAGTGAGTGTGGGGTTTGTATGTTCTACCCTGCTCTGCAGAGTGAGTGTGAGTGAGTGTGCATGAGAGTGAGTGTGGGGTTTGTATGTTCTACCCTGCTCTGCAGAGTGAGTGTGAGTGAGTGTGCGTGAGAGTGAGTGTGGGGTTTGTATGTTCTACCCTGCTCTGCAGAGTGAGAGTGGGTGAAGGTGAGTGAGTGTGACTGTATAGAGTTTGTATGTTTTCCCCCTGTTCCGTATGGGTTCCCCCCTGGTTCTCTGGTTTTCTCCCACAGCTAAAAAAGTGTTTGCAAATTACTCATTTGGAAAACAGACAGCAGCCACATCGCTTTCCCGACTGCGAAAACTTGGCCAGACCATGCTGACAAAGTCTTTCGACTCAATGAGGCTTTTCTGGGTTCTAAACACAACTAAACTATTTTGTATTTACCAGGTAACGCCCACTGAGCTATATTGCTCTTTTTCAGAAGCGACCTGGCCACAAATGATAGCTCAGTGAAGTTGCTTATCACGTGGAAGAATGTATATCAGCCAAATACTCTGAACGCAAGTTTCTGAACGTGGAGTTAAAAACCGGAGGACCCGGAGAAAAATCCACGCAACCACGGGGAGAACACGCAGACCTCAAATATAAAGCAGGCGTCAGGGTCGGGATCGAACCCACGGCCTTCAGGCGATGTAGTTAACGTCTCCCCACCGAGGGAGAAAATGCTGACGCGCTCATCCGGCCAGGAGATTGATGTGGCTGCTTGGCTCATTGAAGTGTGCGCAGAGGCGAGCGTGATGCGATGCCCACGTGTTCGCCTGGGGTAGCCCCGCTGCTGCTGCTCCTGCTGCTGCTGCTGCTCCTGCTGCTGCTGCTGCTCCTGCTGCTGCTGCTGCTCCTGCTGCTGCTGCTGCTCCTGCTGCTGCTGCTGCTCCTGCTGCTGCTGCTGCTCCTGCTGCTGCTGCTCCTGCTGCTGCTCCTGCTGCTGCTGCTCCTGCTGCTGCTCCTGTTGCTGCTCCTGCTGCTGCTCCTGCTGCTGCTGCAGATGCTGCTCTTGCTGCTTCTGCTGCAGATGCTGCTCCTGCTGCTGCCGCTGCTACTACCGCCGCTACTATTGCTGCTGCTCCTGCTGCTGCTCCTGCTGCTGCTGCAGATGCTGCTCTTGCTGCTTCTGCTGCAGATGCTGCTCCTGCTGCTGCCGCTGCTCCTGCGCCGCTCCTGCCGCCGCTCCTGCTGCTGCTCCTGCTGCTGCTGCGCTCGACCCCGGTGTCTCCTCGCACGCCTGTCGTGGGGGGCGTGCGAGGAGTGCCTCGTCTGCAGTTCCCGGCTTGTGTCAGCAGATGGCAAAGCCATCACGTGGCTCGAGCCAGGCACGTGCATCATGCGTGGCGATTTGCTATTCACTCAAACGGAAATCATTTTCACTTTTCTATAAAGCTTTCCTTTTTTTGTAAAGGTTTATGAATCTTATATTTTTCTTCATCATTTTAAAAATGCCTCCATGATTAGGTGATGCAATCAAATACTGATGTATCATATTCTTCGGGTCTTTCGGTAAAACCACGTAGATAGAACAAAAATAATCAAAATAATAACAATATCACGACGTTTCGATCGCAACACAAGCAATCGTCTTCAGGTGAAAAAAGGGGGGTAAATCTGCCGAGGCAGGCAGCTAATGCCAATGTGGGGGAGGTACTACGGAGTTGTGGGGGGTGGCCATTGTATTGTGAGCGATTAGCATGTCAATGTAAGATTGCTTGTGTGGCGATCGAAACGTCGTGATATTGTTATTATTTTGATTATTTTTCTATTTGCGTGGCTTTACCGACAGATCCAAAGAATATGAATTCCTGCAGTCGCGAAAGCTTTAAGTCAAGATTTACTGATGTATTATAGACTAAAGCATGTTTTTTCTTTCGAAATTAATTCTGGAAATGCCACGCAACTGCTGCGTTGACCGCAGCCTAATGGATGTCGCCTGGGCTTACTTTACCACTGAATAGGCGGGAGTAGGTGGCACATGTAGCCGTAGCCATGGCGAGGAGTGTGCTGGAGGTGGTGTGCCGTGTGCAACCCGGACAAACCCTGCTGAAGTCAAGCCCTGGTATCATGCCAGACCCATAGCCTGGCATAGACTCCAGTAGAGACCCACAAACTCGCGTAGGGCTTAATTTCCCACCAGATACTGTGCTTCCCGGGTGGCTGCAAACACTGGAGGAGGTGTACGGTGACGAGTAGCCGCAGCCAAAGTGTGAGTGGTATCCCGGATTTGGCGTGCCAAGTGCGGGAATATTTTCCCGGTCGCTGACCCGATTGAAATTAAACCCCCAGGCGTGGTGGAGAAAAAGAAAACCCCATCAATTGGGCGAGCACAGCACTCGGCACCCGGCCCCCTCCCGTATCTCTCTCCCCACTCCCTGCGTAAGTCTGCCCCAAACGAGCCTCTGCCAGCAATCAGCGTCTCGTGTTTACCTGTAATAGAGGTTGTTGGGTTAGATCGCGTGACTATGAATGTGTCGTTAAACCTGCCACCACCTGGATGTGGCCCCATGAGGCTGGTTGTCATTGCCGGCGAAACGTTGTCCTCGGAATTGTGAATGTTGTGTGTTTGCTCTCCAACACACCTGTGCTGTACTGGTCACGAATTGGCACGTTTTGTTTACGCTTCTTACTGATTGGCTGTGTCGGGTGGTGGCGGGTTTAACGACGCATTTATATTTACACGATCTACCCTCAAAAACCTCTATTATGGATGATATTGGTCCTGACAGCCGATGTGTCTCATGTTTAGTTTGTTATCCTGCCTCACCGCACCTCCGATCACCACAGTGAGCGACGCACGGTGCCAAAGAATTTGTACTCGGTATGTTTGTATAACAAAAAACACATGTTTCACAACAAAGGGACACAGACGTAAGAAATGTATTTCACTACAAATACCCACAAGATCAAGGTCTCCGGTATAGCCTTTGCCAGACTGTTGGAACATCTCTGAAGGCCACCACTGCACACAATGAGCGTAGGTGGCCAGCACCACGCCCGGCCACGCTTTCGCTCCTGAGTGCTGATGTTTAGTACGCACCACACCAGGTACTCATTTTAAAGCTGAGTTGACCTAGAGGAGGCCCAGGGCTGGTTCAGATATTCGCCACTGTCACTGGTCGCGAGCGGCAAACGAACTGTGGTCACCAGGGATGTTACCGCAGTGCGCCAACCGCCACACTCACCGCCCTTACACAGGACCCGCGCGCGCGCACACACACACACACGTTATATTTGATATACGCGTGCATTATGTATTTTTAAAATGTGTACATAATATGTTTTGTTACAGCTATTGGCAGACAGTTCAATGCCATGTTTCACTTGGTGCTATGATAAAAATGCGAATGCTATTGTTATTGGTATTTATTGTGTAATTCACTGTTCAATTAACACCAAAAGCTTTTTTATGCCACCGTACGTTGATGTAACTCACTGGCGACAAACAAACGGAAACCTTCGTTGTCATCAATCACTGCCATATTAGACTGATTTTATAAACACGCGCAATCCAAACTGTACGTATGCAACTGGTGTTATATGAAACCATTTATATTACCGTCTCGCACAATGGAATTTTAAATGAAAATAAAAAATCTATTCAACACTTTTCATTGTAAGCTTCGAAAAAATATTGTTGCATTGAAAATGTTCTTTATTTTGTGTTATTGTTGTTTTCAGAGTCCTCGATTGTAAATACCACTCAGTGATTCTCTTCTCCCACTCACCCGCCCACCATGTTGGCTCAGCCACTCAGCGAAGGCTCACAGCCACTCCGTCTGAACCCCTGTGCTGCTGGGGATCCACTCCGGCATTATTTTTACCCCTCTATTCCACCAGAGGTGTCGCGCCTCCTGAATAATCCATGCGAAAATGGGAAATCCGCGCGGCGCCCTTTAATGGCACCCAAATATTTGCTCTCTCTCTCTTTCTCCCCCCCATCGTTTCTCACCGGCGGCCTTCCTCTCCGTGAGCAACGAGGGACTTTGGCTAATTTAATACCCGCCGCTGTGATGGGCCACTACGTTTCGCGGGGTCAATATGCGCGCAGATGTTGAACACAAAATCATGGCTATGAAGAGCTGCCGTGCCAGCTTAACCCCCGGTGCATGCGGTATGATACACGCACATGTGCTGCGTATCGAGCGTCTCTGTCACGCAGTTTTGTAAACGTTTTTGCATCGTTTGTAACATTTTCTGCGTTTTAGTCCTGCCTTTTTACTTCAGGGTTGCATCGCGAGACAAATTCTCCGTTCAAATCTCTCGCAGACCAGTTGCGAGTCTTCGTGCTCGAGAATGGTGCACAGAAGCGGACATGACAGAGCTACCTCTGAGATCCCTTGCAAGTGACCTCTGGTTCACAAAGCAAGTGGCAGTATTTTTCCACCCTGCCACTGACAGTAATGTTCATTACATGGCAATGACACAGATATATTTAATTCTCAGCTTGATTATAAGACGAATGAAGTGCAGAACCGTATTTAATGTAACGGTTATTTGGGCTGAGGCCATCAACTCACAACACTTGAGAATCTGTTTTTTGTTTGTTTTAATCACAGCCGGCAGCTGTCTGGATTAGAACCCAGGATCCCAGCGGTGTCAGCTCAGCGTTCTGACCGCTGAGCCACTCGGCCTCCTCTAGCAGTAAAATCAAAAGCTCAAAAGATTTCCAATATTTCATCATCGCGCGGCAAACTCACCAGCGCAGGCACATAACACTAGAGCTGCCGTACCCGCGCTTAATTGTCCCCCTGAAAGGCGTAGGAGCTAGTCACGTGATTCACGCGGACCGGGAGCCGGAGTTGCGTTTGGTTGGTGCCTCCGGGTCGGTCGCGTTGGGATTGGTGAAATTTGCGGATTTTGCGTTAATCGCCACTTGCTCAACCTCTCATTTTCACCGCGGTCATTTGCCGCTTTATTAAAAGGATGCCGTAGTTCAAAAGCGAGCCGACCGGGGCTCGTCGGCGGGCTCGGTCTCGCAACTCTATTCTGATTGTGCCTTCGGGGTGGTGCCACGAGACAAAGTCTATTTTCCAATGTCTTGCACAGCAGCTGCCACCCATTCGTGTTAGAGAGCGGCCCACGGACGCAGATATCACACAGCCACCTGTGAGATTCAATATTATCTGCTACAAGACCAAACTGAACATCCTAAGAACATGGTGTGTTCAGTACAGCTTGTATGCCTGCGAGACCTGGACATTAAAAAATACTGACAGAGATAAGATATTGCCACTCGACATGTGTTGCTATTATGAAAGGAGACTGCATCGAAGCTGGACCCAAAGAGTGAGCAACGTAGAAGTAAGAGAAAGTTGGCACATAGAAGAAGACAACCTGATGATGCAGGCTGTGATGAGAAGGAAAGTGGCACTATTTGTACACATGTGTAGGATGGACAACAACAGGAAAATTAAAAGTGTTGTTGTTGTTGTTGCTGTTTGGACAAATGGAAGGAACCGGAAAGAGAGGGAGACTTGAACAAGGAATGGCTGGACGACGACATCATAAGAGATTGGTGCCAGAAAGACGTGGCCACTACTTGAGCATATTGGCACAAGACAGAGGAGAGTGGAAACAAATGACAACATGTGCAGTGGACACCTACGGGGGCTGTCTGCCCACTGATCGTGATGACGATGATATTTCAGATGCCTTCAACTGACCTTTAGGCAGCACAAGAGATGGCACCACGTTTCCTCTCACTCTGCCTATGAGATTAATGTTCTTCGCATGGCAGACAAAACAATAATTACATTTTCAGAGGCGGATTTTAGCCAAAGTAATTGTGGATGCAAAAATGCAGTTCATGTATTGCTTTGTGCATTTGTAACCAGGCGGACACGATGAACTCCCTTCGCTAGAGAACCTGATTTACTCCCAGGCGGTCTGCCTGGACTCAACCAGTTACTCAGCGCAGCCACACAGTCTACCTGTGTGAAATTTGAATGATAGAGCCCTGTTTGGTAAGGCAGAACGCATCCTTATATTGCCAGAGATTAAGTGGCCACGGTCACGTATTGTAATGTAACGGGGATATTGGTTCTCTATTTACTATTTTATAATGTTTTATTTCACCAGGTAAGGGCCACTGAGAAATATATAGCTCTTTTTTGGAAGCGACCTGGCCACAAATTATAGCTTAACGAAGTCGCTTATCACGTAGAAATGTATATCAGCCAAATACTCTAAATGCACGTGGATTTTAAATGGGGAGTCAGAGAAAAATCCACGCAACCACGGGGAGAGAGACACCGCAAATTCCAAACATACAACAGGCATCTGGGTCAGGATCGAACCCACAAACCTCCTGCATATTAGGCGAGGGAGATAACTTCTCCTAGCCACCGTGGCGCCTCCTGTGTCTGACAAATTCAAGACATGAGAACGTCGCTCTAGAATACCGAGGTCTCAGTGACGGACGCACCAGAAATTCACGCTCAGTAAGAAGAGAGCATTTCTTTTTAAATCGGCGAGCTCGTCACGTGAGTTGACTGAGTTCGGAATGGAGGCTGGCAGCAGAGTGAGATTCAAACCGTGCACGTACAGCACTCACAAAGACAAGATCCCCCGTGGAGCCTTTAACAGACTGTTGGGGCAAGTGCTGTTAGTAGCACCTATGAAGGCCTGCATGGCACAGGAGGGGGTAGGTGGCCAACATCACGCCCAGGCCGCCTTTGTCTCCCCAGTGGTGATGTTTACACACTGTGCCAGGTACTCATTTGAGGCTGAGCCGGCCTAGGTAAGGCCCATGACCGGTTCAGATAACCGCCACTGCTGTAGGCCTTTGAGCGGGAATCAAACTCGGGTCGCCGGGTTCGTTGCGCAGCGCGATAACTGCTACTCCCCCACACACACAAGACACAAACACACGGGCACACAGATTCGAGATAAACACACGCGCATACACGCACCAATCTCTATAATAAATGAAATTTTGAAGCAGTGCACACTCAAGGGGTCTGACTCATGAGAAAGTCATGGCCCAGCACCCGTGAGATCCCAGGTTCACGCGGTGGGTCTGCAGGTAAACAATATTATCATGCAATGCAAACTTGAGGGTCTCAGTCGAGGCGGTGATGTTTACACAAATACCTCGCGCATACACCGCAGAGATGGCCTGGCTCACGCATTTCAAAATCGCACTCTCGCACTGGAATTCAGCACCATTGCGTAGTGAGAGGGCAAGGAGAGCAAATGACCTCGCCAAAACAGAATGTGGCCAGGTCAATCAAATACCTACTACTGTGTGGGAGCGTCAACAAGGAGTTGTCCTATACAGACTCGTCCCTGCCATAGCAATGTGTAATTCCCACCCACTTGCTCATGGGCTGTGAACTGCTGAGCACGGCCTCAATGCCAATTGGGTAAGGAAACCACTTGGACTGTTTTGCGACGAGAATGCTGGTACGGCCGTGACCCCGGGAGTGACAAGATCGCTTCGGCCTTGCAAAGCTGCCACGGGGCCTCGCGCGGCGGGTTGTGTCGTGATGCCATCGCTGGTGGCACTGCTGCGCGTTCTGCGTGGAAGCGGTGGGGCCACGGCTGGCAAGCTGCGCTGCGAACCCGGCGCCCGGAGTTCGATAGCCACTCCCGGCCAACACCGGTGACGATTATCTGAAACGGTGCTGGGCCTCCTATAGGTCGACTCAGCCTCGAATTAGTAATTGTTGCGGTGTTTGAACATCGCCACGGGGGTGTTGGCCGCGCAACCATTCGTGTGCCGTGCATGCCTTCGCCGGGTGCTCGCTCGCAGCACTTGCCCCAACAGTCTTGCTAAAGGCTATACGGGGGACCTTTGCCTCTGTCTGCGTGGAAGGTAGGTGAGCTCGCACGGCAGGGCGTCTCTGCTGCCTGCAGGGGGATGTTGTGTGCAGCGAAAAGCCTCCCCCCCCATCTGCGCTCGGCTCCAGGGAAAGACGGCGGGCGCTCTGCGAAACTCCAGATAAGATGTCACGCGAACTGTGACTCACAGCTAATGTGACAATTTGTGACAGAAATTGTATTTCAATGGCGACCAGCAATGGCACGGAAAAATAAAATACGACTTCAATGCATTGTCAGGCCATTAAAGCACGCGTTCACTTAACCGCCGAGAGTGTCGCAGCACACGGAGAACAAGGACGCAGTGTTACGCTTACGCAAAAAAAAACAAGTCTGAATTAAATAAACAAATATCCGCGAGACTTGGGACGTCAGATTTATGCGTTTCGTGTCGCCTCATGCGGCATTCACCTTCGCGTTGTCAGCGCGCGCGAAGATGCACGGGGAAAGTTACCGCTGGCAGGACGCTCAATCACCGGAGCGGTTCGTGGGAGGGGAGTGGCGCGCACACGGAAGGCGGCCCAACGTCGCCTGCCAGTCGGAACGGGGCGATCGGTCAACCTAACACACCGCGTCCAGGGAAATCCACCCGCTTCCTCGTTTGGAGATGTGTTTCCATTCTGCATTCGTTCATTCATTGATTTCTCCTCGAGACGCCTATCCCTTGACATCATTGTTTGTTGCTGTGTATCGTAAGAAGGCGCTCGTAACAACAACAGCAACAAAAACGTGTCCTGGA